ATAGCTACATATATAATAATAGGGGATTTCAACATCTCACTTTCAGAAGACGAGAAAACTTGCAGGTTTAAAATCAATGAAGAATGTTACATTTTAATTCCACTTAAGATCAAAGAGACCAATGGACATGTAGAGGAGATCTGATTCAACAACTTCAGAATTCACATGTTTCTCAACTGCCTATGGAACATTCTCCAGGATAACTTATATTCTGGGATGCAAAACAAGTCTTAACAAAGTTTTTAAAAATTGAAATTATACCAAATATTTTTTTCTAATTATAATGGGATAAAACTAGAAATTAGTCACAAGAGAAACATTGGAAACTGCATGAATACATGAAAATTAAAAGCAACATGCTCCATATTCAAAAATCAGTAGTATTTCTATATGCCAGTAGTAACATATCTGATAAAGAATTTTTAAAAATTCCACTTATAATAGCTACAAAAAATAAAATAACTATTAGTAAGTTTTTGTAAAAAGATTAAAGATCTTCACAATGAAAACTATAAAACACTGATGGAAGAAACTGAAGAAGACAGAGTAAATGGGAAAATATGAAATGTTTATAAATTGGAATAATTAATGTTGTTAATATGTTCATATTTCTTAAAGACACATAGAGAGTCGATGCAATTTCTGTCAAAATTCTGATACCAATCTTTACAGAAAAAGAAAAAAAGCCAATCCTGAAATGTATTTGGAACAAGAAAACACCTCAAATATCTAAAGCAATCTTGAGCAAAAAAAGAGCAATATGTACCATAAAGCTATAGTAACTGAAACAGCATGATATTGGCATTAAAACAGACATATAGAGCAATTAAGCAACATAGAGGGTCCAGAAACAGAACCATGCATTTACAGCTGGTCTTTCTTTCCCTCCCTCCCTCCCTTCCTTCCTTCCCTCTCTCTCTTTCTTTTTTCCTTCCTTCCTTCCTTCTTTCTCTCTCTTTCTTTCTTTCTTTCTCTCTTTCTTTTCTTTCCTCTCTCCTTCCTTCCTTCCTTCTTTTCTCTTTCTTTCTTTCTCCTTCCTTCCTCCCTTCCTTCCTTCCTCCCTTCCTTCCTTCTTTCTTTTTTCCATCTTTCTTTCTTTCTCTCTTTCTTTCTTTCTTTTTCTTTCTTTCCTTCCTTCCTTCTTTCCTTCCTTCCTTCCTTCTCTCTCTCCTTCCTTTCTTCCTTCCCTCCTTCCTTTTCTCTTTCTTTCTTTCTTTCTTTCTTTCTCTCTCTCTTTCTTTCTTTCTTTCTCCTTCCTTCCTTCCTTCTTTCCTTCCTTCCTATCTTCCTTCCTCCCTTTCTTCCTTTTTTCCATCTTTCTTTCTCTCTCTCTTTCCTTCCTTCCTTCCTTCCTTCCTTCCTTCCTTCCTTCCTTCCTTCCTTCCTTCCTTCCTTCTTCTTTCTCTCTCTCTCTCCTTCCTTCCTCCCTCCTTCCTTCTCTCTCTCTCTCTTTCTTTCTTTTATTTTTTTCTTTCTTTTCTCACAGATGCCAAGAACTCACAATGGAGAAAGGACAGTCTCTTCAATATATGGTGCTGTTAAAACTGAATATTCACACACAAAAGAGTGAAAGTAAATTCCTATCTCTGAATTGACACAAAAAGATCAAAATGTGTTACAGATTTAAACATAAAACCTTAAGCCATGAAATTACTAGATGAAAAACACAAGGGAAACACTACATGACATAGGTCTGAACAAGGATTTTTTTAGACAGGACCTCAAAAGCACTTGCAGCAAAAGCAAAAACAACAAACAAAAACAAAAAACCCGCAGCAATAACAACAAACACTACAACAAACTAAAGAGCCTTTGCTTGCAAATGGACAAGACACTTGAACAGGTGAACAGACTTTCTTAAAAGGACACATACTAATAGCCAACAGTTACATTGTAGAAAGGATGAAATCCTGTCAGTGGCAACAACATATATGAACTGGAGGCATTTATCTTAAGTGAGACAAGTCAGACACAGAAAGATAAACACTGCATGTAGTTACTTATAAATGGCATATAATTGCTGTGCACACAGGGATGTAGAGTGTGGAATAATAGACAATAACGGTTTGAATGTGTGAGGAGGTGAGCAGGGAGTGCATAATGAGAGAATACTTGGTATATACAATATACAGCACTGCATTTGCTGTATCCTAGTGGTTTTGATAATTTGTATTACTATTATTCATTTTGAATGGTAATAGTAATTTTGAAAATTTTCATCTTGAGTTTATCGTTAATCCCCAAATCATTCAGGATCAGGTTGTTTAATTTCCTTATATTTCTATTGTTTTGAGAGTTCCTTTTGGAGTTGATTTTTAGTCTTACTCCACTGTGTAAATTTTTAGTACTCCACTGGGTTCCTTTTGAAGTTGGTTTTTAGTTTTACTCTACTTTTCAGAGAAGCTACTTTATATAATTTTGATTTTTAAAAAATTTATTGAGACTTATTTTGTGGCCTATCATATTATCTGTCTTAGAGAATGTTCTATGTGTTGATGAGAAGAATGTAGTTCTTGGGCAGACTATTTTGTAAATATCTGTTAGGTCCATTTGTTCTAGAGTACAGTTTAAGTCCTATGTTTCTTTGTTGACTTTCTGCCTTGATAATCTGTCTAGTGCTGTCAGTGCAGTGTTGAAGTCACCCACTATTATTGTGTTGCTGTCTATCTTTTTTTCATAGGTCAAATAGTCATTGTCTTATGAATGTGGTAGCACCAAAGTTAGGTGCATATATATTTAGGACTGTAATACCTTCTTGTTGAATTGAACCTTTTATCATTATATAATGACATCTGTGTTAGTTGGTTCTCACACTGCTGACAAAGACATACCTGAGACCTGGTAATTTATAAAGGAAAGAGGTTTAATGGATTCACAGCTCCACATGGCTGAAGAGGCCTCACAATAATGGCAGAAGATTAAGGAAAAGCAAAGAGACATCTTACAAGGCAGGAGGCATAGAAAGCTTATGCAGGGAACTCTCATTTATGAAACCATCAGATCTCATGAGACTTATTTACTACAATGCGAACAGTATGGGGAAACTGCCCCCAAGATTCAATTATCTCCACGTGACCCTACCCTTGACAGATGGGGATCATTACAATATTTGGGTGGTGACACAGTCAAACCATATCAACATCCTTTTGTCTTTTAAAATTGTTTTTGCTTAAAAGTCTATTTTATCTGATGTAAGAATAGCACCTCCTGCTTGCCTTTAGTTTCTATTTGTCTGGAATGTCTTTTCCACCCCTTTGGCTTGAGTCTGTAAGAATCTTTACTTGTTATGTGAGTCTCTAGAAGACAGCAGATATTTATAATTTGTAATTTTTTTTATTGATTCTGCCAATCTGTGTCTTCTAAGTGGTGTATTTAGACCATTTACATTAAACATTAATATTGAGATGTGAGATATAGTTCCAGTTATGCTGATTGTCACTTAGATACTTTATATTCTTTATTGTGTTGTTGTTTCATAGGTCCTATAGATTTTATGTTTTCAAGAGGCCCTATTCTAGTGTATATTGACATTTTGTTTTAAGATGTACAACTCCTTTTAGCATTTCTTGTAAGGCTGATCTAGTAGTGACAAATTCCCTCAGCATTTGCTTCTCTGAAAAAGACTTTATGTATCCTTCATTTATAAAACTTAGTTTTGCTGGATACAAAATTCTTGGCAGTCTTTCTTTTTAAAGAGACAAAAGGTGAATGTCAATGCTTCTTGTTTGTAAGGTTTCTGCTGAGAAAGTTAAAATTTTTAGTCATTAAATATCAATTTTAGTAATTATATAATTTTGATTGTTTTAGTGCCCCATTTTCTCATTCTACATTATTTCAGTTTGAGCAACAAGTTGTATGGTAGTACAATAGTATGATTACAACAAAACCCACCAATAACAGAAAGTTTAAAAGACCAAACTCACATATTTTAGAATGTTAAAAAAATGAGAGCCCCCTTTCTTACAAAATTGCACATATACATGTATACACAAGAAGAGGATATATAGATAGATGGATAAATAAATATATATGTCGATAGATGATAGACTGATAGATCAATAGGTAGATAGATAGAGATAACAACAATGGATATATGACATGAAGCATACTTTACTTTCCCATGGAAATATTAACCAACCTATTTAAACAGAGGCTCTATCCATTAAGTTTGGCTTATTTGTTTGCTTGTTTACTTATTGTGACTCAGGCTATTCTGTTGCAGATTCAACACCCTCTTTACTCTTGTATTTGGTGACCAATAAATATGTTTAGATCAAAGAGGAAATTTTAGTTTCTCTGAAGCTTCTATATGTGAAATGGCACTTCAGTTTGTTAGAAATATAACTCATGTAAAATTATCAATAAAGTATTAAATGAGGATGTAACAATTGATGATTTATAGGTGATAATCATGGATACACAGGAAAGAACAGAAAGTAAAATATCATAAATAACTCAATAGTTCCAGGGCATAAGTTTTGTGAGTCATTTTATATAATGCAGTAATCACTGATTGTGCTCATACCCCATAGATCATCAATTATTATTAATAGACAAAGTACAATATTTATCTAAATTTCAGTGTAGACTATGATTTCTCAAATATTTCCTATATCTCTATGATTGGACAATTTTTGGTATTGCACAGTTAGTGTTGCTATAGTCCTTCATAAGACAGTCAAGGAAAAATGTTCAAATGTGAACTGGTAGTATAGATTTGTCAGCAGATGAAGACAACAGAAGGTATATCTTTGCTCTTTTTTTCTCATTCAGCATTAACAGAGACTACATAGACCCCTACATTACTCTAGCAGGCTTACTGGAAATATTTTAAGCTTGGAATATGTTTTGAAGTAAAATTTTCTACATTGGAATTAATTTTTATATTTAAGTCCTCATGAAGGTTTTATATGCATTTTTTTGCTGTCTTTACATGTCATCTTTTTCTCTTAAATTCAATACATTTTAACATTTTATAAATCCCTGTTGTTGTTTTCCAGAAAAAAAATCTTTCAAAACTATTACCCCAATATCTGGAAATACACATTATAGTGGAAAAAGCTTTGGTAAGTAAAACTTTCCTTCTTGCCTTCCAGTCTTTTCCCTTCCTTCTTCTTACCCGTCCTTCCTCCATTGTCTCCCTATTTTCTCCCTCTCTCTTTTCCTCCCTTCCCCTCTGTCTTCCCTTTTTTTCTCCACACCTCTTTCATTCATTCCTTTCTTTTGTTCCCTCCCTCCCCCCTCGCTTCCTTCCTTCCTTCCTTCCTTCCTTCCTTCCTTCCATCTTTCTTTCTGTAAGTTAGTGAAAGTTTTGTTTTAATTTTGAAGACATAAAAATTTTATTTTATTTATTTATTTTTTAGATGGTGTTTCACCATGATGGCCAGGCTGATCTTGAACTCCTGACCTCAGGTGATCCACCACCTTGGCCTCCCAAAGTGCTAGAATTACAGGCATGAGCCACAGCGCCCGGCCAAAAATTTTCTTAATATTTTAAAATAAAGATATTTTATTTTAGGTGTCTTAGATAAATCGACAATTGTGATGAAGAACAGCCTAAATTAACCTAGAATGCTTTATACTATCTGCTTCCTCCACTCCAGCTCAGTCAGTATCTCTTTGACTTTAACACCTAATGACCCATCCTTTTATCCAACATTTTCAACTAAATCAGTTCTTTGCTTTCACATCATTTCAAAACCTTTATTCCTAACAGAAATTTCACTTCAATAATAGTAGTGTTTATGGTTTTTGTTTATTATTCTTAAAATATGTTTCAGCATAGTTTTTGAATAAATATACCTCTGGTTTTAAATATATATTTATTTTTAAAATTAGTACCATTATATATTTACTAAATGCAAAGCACCGACTAATCACTAGAAATTCTACTTTCAGGAATTCACATTTTGATGGAAAAGACAGATATGCAATCAAATAATTATGATGCACTGCATACATTATATATGAATATATGTAATACTTTTATATATATATATACACACACACATGCACAAAATTACAGGATGATATTGAGAAAGATGTAGGAATTGTCTCTTTTTTTTTTTTTTTTTTTGAGACAGAGTCTTTTGCTCTGTTGCCCAGGCTGGAGTGCATGGCATGATCTTGGCTCACTACAACCTCCATCGCCCAGGTTCACATGATTTTCTTGCCTCAGCCTCCCAAGTAGTTGGGATTACAAATGCACACCACCACACTTGGCTAATTTTTTGTATTTTTAGTAGAGATAGGGTTTTGCTATGTTGGCCAGGCTGGTCTTGAACTCCTGACCTAGTAATCCACCTGCCTCAGCCTCCCAAATTGCTAGGATTACAGGTGTGAGCCACAGTGAGACAGGAATTGTTAAGGAAAGACTTCATAGAATACATTTTTAGATGAATGGCTAGCATTTATCAGATAAATACAATACAATCAAATAGATACAAAAGTGTAAATTATAGATTATCTGTTCTATAGCATCTGCATTATTTTGTTAAATATAATATCTTCAAGATTTACTCCTGTTGTTCCCCATAACAGTAGTTTATTTCTTGTATACTAATGTGAAGAATACCATAATTTGGTGCTATTATGAGTAAAATTATTATAATCAATCTTGTTCATGTCTTTTGGTAGACATAATTTCTTTTGGTATCTGTCTATGAGCAGATCATGGGATTGTTGTGTTACCTTTAGACAATATTGGTAAACAGTTAAAAAGTTATTATAGTAATTTCCTGTGCTTTCAGCAATGTATGAAAGGTCCAGGGGTTCTATATCATTACAAACGATTAGAATTTATAAACTTTAAAAAGTCTCAACCATTCTAGTGGATATATAGTGATATCATATTGTGGTTTTTAGGTGCATTTAACACATGACTGAGGTTGAGCATATTTTCATACCATTGTTTACCATTTGGATATTTTTCAGAGTAAATGTATAAGTTTTTCCCCATTTTAATAGTTTTCTTACTATTTTGTGGGAATTCCTTACATATTCCAAATATGAGGCCTTTTTCAGATAGCTGTGTTTTCTACCAGTCTCTCTGTTATATTTATATTCATTTAATGATGTCTTTTGATAGACATACACACTGAACCACAGTTGAGTCCATTTTATGTTTTTTAACATAAATTTCGTTTTGTTTTCAATTTAAGAAATATTTTCTTATTCCAAGGACATAATTTTACTTCCATATTATTGTATGTTTTATTCTTTACCCTTTAAAATAAGTTTTACAGTATATTTCTAATTGAGAAATGTATATGCTGTGAGCAGGGAGTAAAGATTGTCTTTTTTCCATATAGACATCATTTGCTTCATCTCCACTTGTGAAAAATATCTCTTACTCCATTCAATTGTGTTAGCAATTTAAAAAATTATGTAGCAGAATTGTGTGTGACCTATTTCTTATGTTGCTGTTCACTTCCATTGCCCTATTTTTGTTTTATTGAATTAATAATTCACTAAGTTCATTACTATAGCTTTATTGTTATATAATTTATTTGACTTTTTCCTTTTACTAATCCTAATTATTGTTTTGACTATTCTGGGTCCCTTTTATTTAAACCCATTTTAGAATCACCCTCTAAATTTTACAAAAATTCTGTAATTTTGATTTTGGAGTTACATTGAATGGTTAGCTCACTTTGGAAAGAATTGTGATCTTAATAATATTGAGTCATTTGATCTCTGAATAAGGAGAGCCTCCTCACACATACACATCTTTACATTTTTTGTTAATTTCTTTCATCAGTGTTCTATAGTGTTCTTGAACATCTTTATTCATTTTATTGTTATACATTTGATGATTTTGTGATATTCTATTAAATGGTATTTTTAATTTAATATTTACGTATTTTTGCTCCGCTTTATAAAAACATAGCTGAGATTAATGTATTCATCTTATATCTTGTGATTTTTGCCTAATTTGCTGGTTAATTGTTGTGTTTCATTTTTTGTAGTTTTTTTATTATTCTATGTACACAATCATATTATTTGTGAATAATTACATTTTAATTTTTCTTTTTCAATTTTTATTCCCTTTTATCTATTTATGTATACATGTATTTATTATCTATTTATTTTACTTTTATTTCGTTTTATTCTTTTATTGTCCTAGCTTGACTCTGAAGTACAATGTTAAATAGACTGATGTGTATATTTCTAAATTTTTCCCTAACTTACAGATTAACCATTCTCTCTAATTTTCATGTTAGCTCTTAGTTTTTGGTAGGTGATCTTTATAATATTGAGAAGGTTCCTTTATATTCCCTATTTTCCAAGATTTTTATCACAGATAGCTGTTTTTCATCAATTTTCTTTTCTGCTCTTACATAGATGACCAGTGGGTATAGAGAGCCATACTTGTGTTTCTAAAATATACCATACTTGTTTATTACATTTTTGTCAATTTTTATAAATAACTGGATCTTTTATTTAATATTTTGATTTTGATTTTAGGGTTTATATTCATGAAATAATTATATGTTATATTCCTTTCTTATAGAAAGGAATCAAGATAATCCTAGCCTCATCAAATAAGTTAGTGAGTTTTCTTCTTCTTATAGTCTGTCCAAGAATTTAGGTATTATGAATATGACCCTTTCCACATATAGCTGGAAAATACTCTGAAACCCTGTAGACCTTAAGTTTTCTTTGAGGAAATATTTTAAAGTACACCTTAAATTTATTTGATATACATAGGAAAGTTTAGATTTTCTTTAAACTTGTTTTAGTTTCTTCAAGTTAGATTGTTATGATTTGAATGTATCCTTTTCATAATTCAGGTATTGAAACATAATGGCCAATGTTATGGCTTTAAGGCATGAGGCAATTATCAAATTTCTTAGAATGAATTTGTAATACATTCTTTTTAACTTTTAAAAATTGGTTAATTTGTAGCATCACCATTTCAAATGTTCACCAATGATATTGGTGGGATATTCCCCTTTGCTCTTTAGCTAAATTTTATTATTTTAAACTTATTATTCTGAAAGAACTTTAAACTTACATGAAAGTTAAGAAACAGTAAAATGTTCCCATATATTTTTCCATAACTTATCCTAAGTTAACATCTTACATAATCATAATATAGTAATCAAAACATAAAAGCTAATGTGTCTACATTATTATCAACTAAAAAAATTTTGACATTTTTCTCATAAATGCCTTTTTCCTAATTTAGTCCACAATTATAAGATCCTACATTCCATTGAGTTGACATGTCTCTTTTTTCTCCTCCAATCTGTGGCAGTACTATGTATTTGTCTTTCATGTACCTTGGCACTATTGGAGAATACGTGCCAGTTATTTCATAGAAATGTTTCTCAGATCAAAAAGACCCTTTCTTGTTAAGCTGTTGTTAGTGTTGCTTTCATAAAACAAAATGTCTGCCCTTTTCCTATATTCTGAATGATTTTTGTACAAATGCCTTTACTTGTTCTTTACATATTATTTAAATGTCTGTAACAATTAACTTTTCTTTTTCAGGGGTGGGGGGAGGGAGAGAGAGAGAGAGAGAGAGAGAGAGAGACAGGGCCTCACTGTGCACTGTGCTGTGCAGCCTGGAATGCAGTGACAAAATCATACCTCACTGCAATCTCAAACTCGTGGCCTAAACCAATCCTCCTGCCTCAGCCTTCTGAGTAGCTGGGACTACAGGCACACACCACAATGCCTGGATAATTCTTTTTTAGTTTTTATAGAGACGAAGTCTCACCATGTTGTCCAAACCTCAGTCTCCCAAAGTGCTGGGGTTATAGGCATGAGCCACTGCACCTGCCCAACAATTAACCCTTATAGTCCCTTCAACCTGATATTTCTTTTATGGGAAGGTTTGAAATGACAGAATCCACTTTAATAGTTACATGATTATATAGTCTTTGAACTTTACCTTTGACCATTTTGGCAAATGACATTTTAAATAATATTTTCAAATGTATTAAAATGTAGTAAGCTATTTCATACTTTATTATCACCATTTTAGATATCATAATCCTCTTTCATTCCTGATATTGACAATTCGCATCTCTCTATTTTTTTTAAAGTATATATATTTAAGATGTCTACATCAGGATGTTTTTATATACATAGTGTTACATTTTTGTGGTAAAAGTACCTAAAATCTACTCTCTTAGCAAATTTCCAGTATATAAAGCAATATTGTTGACTGTAGCTCTCGTGTTGTACATTAGGTCTCTAGACTTATTTATTCTACATAACCCAAACTTTGTATCCTATGAATGCCATTTCCACATTTCTCCCAACACGCTGACCTCTGCCTTTTGACAGCCACCTTTTCACTTTGTTTCTATGTATTTGAATATATTTGTTTTGTTTTGTTTAGATACCACATGTAAGTGAGGTCATGTAGTATTTTCTGTTCTGTATCTGGCTTATTTCACTTATCATAATGCCCTCCAGGTTCCCCCATTTGTCACAAATGACAGAATAACCATTTTGAAGGCTTAATAATATTTCTCTGTGTGTATAATATATATATATATATGTATATAGGGAATATATAATCCATAAATACTTAAGTCCCTTATATAAAATAGCTTAGAATTTGCTCAAGCCTACACACATTCTCCTATGTACTTTAAAACAACTCTAGATTATTTATAATACCTAATACAATGCCTAAACATCATTGCATTCACTTGGATTCAAAATGATACTTTCATGAAAAATAAAATTTATTTTTCAGTATGATTATATGGGATCTGAAATGATGACTGTAACACAAAAAATTGTCCAGGTTATTGGGCTTGTCAACACAGTAAGTTTTTACTTTTTCACATTTCCATTTATATGAAAGTTTATTTAATATAATTTGGATTCTATCTTGGCAAATTAACAACAACTACTTTTATTAGTTTAATACTCAAAATACTGGAACATTTTCTTCATTTTTTAACGTACTTTTTAAATGTAATAACTTGTTACTTTAAAAATGTGCCATAAATCTTACTTTTAGATGTTTACCCAGTTCAAATTGACTGTTATACTGTCTTCCTTGGAATTATGGTCAAATGAAAACCAGATTTCCACCAGTGGGGATGCTGATGCTATATTACAAAGATTTTTGGCATGGAAACGGGACTATCTTACCCTACGGCCCCATGACGTAGCATACTTACTTGTGTAAGCACAATGTTCTACATTAATAAAGATATCTGCATATATAATTATTTTAAATTGGTAACTTAGTGAATTTATTGTGTTCTTCACTTTTCCTTAAGCCCCTCTGAAAATGTTTAAAAATAAGTAGCCTTAGCCAGGTGCAGTGGTTCACGCCTGTAATCCCAGCAGTGGGAGGCCGAGTCGGGCGGATAACTAGAGGCTGGGAGTTCAAGACCACCGTGACCAAAATGAAGTAGTGAAACCCCTTCACTACTAAAAATACAAAAATTAGCCAGACGTGGTGGTGCATGCCTGTAATCCCAGCTACTCAGGAGGCTAAGGCAGGAGAATCACTTGAACCAGCCAGTTGGAGATTGTAGTGGGCCAAAATCATGTCATTGCACTCCAGCCTGGGCAATGAGAGCAAAACTCTGTCTCAAAAATAAAATAATAAAATAAAATAAAATAAAAAAGTAGCCTTTGCCGTGGAGGTGCTAGTGTACTTAAATATATAATAAAAAGTACAATAAATAGTTTTGTATTAGAATATTTTGGAGTATAATATTATTTTTAAAATCTGCATTCCATGAACTTCTTTCATTGACTTTACTACAGAAAACATGTAATCCTTAGTTTATGAATGATGTAAAAATGGAGACTATTCAGTTAAAATTATCTATGATAAGTTAATGCATTTCATGTCTACTTTTACTAGGAGTGATTTGGGTTTTTTTTTTTTTTTTTTTTTTTTTTTTTTTTTTTTTTTTTTTTTTTTTTTGAGACGGAGTTTCACTCATGTTACCCAGGCTGGAGTGCAATGGCGCGATCTCGGCTCACCGCAACCTCCGCCTCCCGGGTTCAGGCAATTCTCCTGCCTCAGCCTCCTGAGTAGCTGGGATTACAGGCACACACCACCATGCCCAGATAATTTTTTGTATTTTTAGTAGAGACGGGGTTTCACCATGTTGACCAGGATGGTCTCGATCTCTTGACCTCGTGATCCACCCGCCTCGGCCTCCCAAAGTGCTGGGATTACAGGCTTGAGCCACCGCGCCCGGCCGATTTGGGTTTTTTTTTTAATATTTAGTTTTTAAAAATGCTATCTTTAGGACAGTAAGATTACTTCTTCCACAAATTAAAAATTATTTTCTCTTTAACTTTTGGCAACCAAACAAAGCTGGATTTGAGCTAATGAAATTATATCCATTTTAAGAGTTACACAAGCGTTGGTATTAAAGTGAATTAATTCAAGTCAATGATTTTAGCATTTTGTGTAGCTTATTAGATATTATCTAGTTTGAAACTCTATATATTTGTGAAGTCATTTCTAAAATTTTATAAAAAGATTTAATTTAATAAGTCTATGAATTTTTTTGCATAACTATGTTAATTAAAAGACAATATTATCATAATGTAGTTACAGGAAACATCCTAAATATGTGGGAGCAACATTTCCTGGCACCATATGCAATAAAAGCTATGATGCAGGTATTGTTATGGTATGTAATTTTTATTCTTCTTTACACCACTATTTTTAAGCCTTATATGTTTTGTAAGTATTAATTTAAATAGTTAAATAGTGTATAACCACTTGATCTTTTTCTGTATGCATATGTGCATCATGATTTCATTGGGATAAAATTATTAGAATCTCAGAAAGTTTATTTATAAAGTTCGAACACAAAGAATATTATGTGAACAAACCTTAGTGTAACCACTCACCAACTGTTCATAATGGACACGAACATTTGCTTTAAATTTTTAAATAAATAAAACATTAGAGCAATGTTAAAGCCTCTTGCACATTTGCTCCAAGTTCAATAAATAGCAAAAATTATAAATTTGTTTTTGCAATTTTACATGTACTTTATGCTGTCTTAATAAATATATGTATGCATAAATAATATATATTGTTTTTAGATATTGAAAATTTGTATATTGATAAAAGTGTTTCCTGCATAATCTACAACCCCTAAATCCTCTTTCTCAATTAAAAAATTTCTTCTTTGTAACCATATAACTCCATGTTAATTTCTTTTTAAAGAGAAGTTTTACTGAAGTACAAAATATAGTATATAAAGAAAATTCCACAAGTCAAAGTATATAGCACAATTAACTTTTATCAAGTTTATACATAGGTGTAAATACCACAAAAATCAAGAAATAGCATGCTATCAACACTTCAGAAGGTACTTATGAATCATGCGTCCTCCCACCTACCACCCATACCAAAGGAAATTTAATTTTACTTCTTTTTGAAGTTTACGTAAGCAGAACACAGTGTGTATTCTTGTGTGCTCCATTTTGCTTAATATTATGATACCCCAGAAAACATGTAATCATTAGTTCATGAATGATGTAAAAATGGAGACTATTCAGTTAAAATTATCCATGATAAGTTAATATATTTCATGTCTACTTTTTACTAGGAGTGATTTGGTTTTTTAAAAAATACTTAGTTTTAAAAAATGCTTATCTTTAGGACTGGTAAGATTGCTTCTTTCACAAATTAAAAAATATTTTCTCTTTAACTTTTGGCAAGCAAACAAAGCTGGATTTGAGCTAATGAAATTATATCCATTTTAAGAGTTACACAAGGAAATTGCATTGATATTAAAGTGAATTAAAGTCAAAGATTTTAGTATTTTGTATAGTTATTAGATATTATCTAGTTTAAAACTTTATATATTTGCAAAGTCAGAATGTTATTAACACTTGAGAAGGTACTTATGAATCTACTTATATTTATATTTTTATGGGTAGGAATAGTTTGTTCATTCTTTTACCATTGGTAAAATATATGCCCATGAAGTTTTCTGACTATTGAAATATGAGTATTATCTATTGGCTTCCAATTATTGAAATTAGAATGTAACATCCTAATAGTGCATCATATCTATATTTTGACTCCTTCATTCCTCCTCTATAATTATATACCTTATTTGACTTGTGTCTTATTCGCTAATGAGCCAAGTAATGAAAGACTAAATTGCCTTGTGTGCCCTTTAGTTCTTACTAAATTTAATAATTGCATCATATTGATTCGTGCAACAATTTTTAATAAAATTATACATTGTTTCTAGTTTTCTCCTTGTTTCACAAGTTCCTCTTTCCTTTCCTGGAGACATTCTGCAGAAATTGTCTATTTTGTCAATCTACATTAGACCTGTTGCCTAGGTAGGGTTTGTGAATTTTCAATCTTGTTTCTTTTGTGTTATGGGTATCCCTCTTTTATATTTTGCTCATTTTTTTAGAAGTGAGCTCCTATACTTTATTGACAAGAAAGGTGGGAAGTAAATTGTGTGATAGAAAAAATTTTAAATTATTTTATTTTTTATTCCAACTTTTTTTTAAATTATATTTTAGGTTTTGGGGTACCTGTGAAGATCATGCAAGATTGTTGCATATGTACACACATGGCAGTGTGATTTGCTGCCTTCCTCCCCTTCACCTATATCTGGCATTTCTCCCCATGTTATCTCTCCCCACCTCCCCACCCCCCATCCCTCCCCCATTTCCCCCCAACAGACCCCAGTATGTAGAGCTCCCCTCCCTGTGTCCATGTGTTCTCATTGTTCAACACCCACCTATGAGTGAGAACATGTGGTGTTTGATTTTCTGCTCTTGTGTCAGTTTGC